CTTATCACTCTCACTGCAGTCACCTTTCTGAAAATGAAACCCTGATATTCAACTGAAACACGTGGAAATCAAAACAGGTGATGGACAAAAGTTGAAAGGTTGAATCTGTGGTTTAAATTATTGTGTCCTCAGCTTGAATGAGGGTGGATGAAGTGCAGATCCGACTGGAATGCCTTCTAGATTTGTGAAGTGGAATGAGCCATAAAGAAAGAATGCAGTTATATAGCTTAGTATAACAAAATATCTTTCCCGCCTCACATTTAAAAAAATTTTTGCCTGATCTCAGGGTTCCAGGCCCAAGTCTAGCACCAGTGCTTAACCATGGCAGAGAAGAATCAACTTCCCAGGTACCTTCACGTATTTTGGGGCCTATAAAGGGTGGAGTTCCTCCCAGGCAGGGTGCCTGGAGTCTCCTAGATGTCTGAGAGGACTTTGGACATGATACGGGCAAGTGTGCAGGTGCGGGGATGGTCGCATTTAACAGAGTCCAGGAACATAACTTCTGAGAGCACATGCTGTACCGAGAACTTTGATACCTGTCACAAAATACCATATCTATACATTTAAATTTGGCGTGCATAATCCTAATAGTATTTTAGGGTGGAATATAACCTCACACCATGTAGGCTTGTGGAAGCCAACTTTGTATGCAACTCAGTTACCGGCTTGGTTAGGCTTCTTCTTGGCCCCATCGCAGGTTAAACGGTACCTTGAAACTGGTTTCACCACTGGGAAAAAGATGTGTGTCCAGGAGATAATGAAAAGCGTTAGAGAGAGATGACAGCACACCGTGGGGGCATTCTTAAGTGTGGGACGCTTCCAGATAGGATTGCTGTTATGCTGTTTCTAAGAACAGTACTCTGAACTAGCCTCTGAGCTCTGGCACGGACTAATGGCCAATTCTGGAAGAAATCATTGTTCCTTTTCTTAAACAAGGAAAATCGAACTCCTCCTGATTTCGCTAAAATCTCCGCAAAACGATTTGGAGAACAGACACAAAGCACTGTTTCTTTCAGTTGTGATCTCCCTTTACTGATGGAGAGCCTGGACAATGAAAAAAGCTAGCCCTGTCAATTTTCATTGTAAACAGAGAGTGACAGACTGCCTGGTAAATACATCAACAGTCCTTACTATGGAAAACCTTCTTACATGTGGAATGCTTTTACTAAGATGTGTCTGATCTTTGTAGGACTCTTCATGGTGGTCTAACCTGGAATCTGTAGATTTACATGTCCTTGTTCCTTGGAACCCCTCACCTAATCTATGCTACTGTCAGGGTTATCAAATGGAGAGGACCAAAACTGACTCCATATTATGTAAGATGCAATCTCACGCGTCACCTTCAGAGCTCATACGTCACATCTGGGCTAGATCATTTCCTGGTATGGAAGGAAGGCTCTCTGGGGACTGACGCTGGTGATGGTGGTGGTCTCAGCCTTGTTGTTGCTTTATGTGTGCCTCGCAATTAATTTTATTCTGGAATACAATAATGTAAATTAATAAAATTTGATACTCAGTATGATTTATGATTCTCATGAGTTTTATTTGCAGCCTGTTCTTTTGTGTTGTCTCCATTTCAGGTGAATATTCTCTTATGCAATTCCCTGACCTTTCTTAAAACAGAGATCATGTCCTTTGCGGGAACATGGATGGAGCTGGAGCCCATTATCCTTAGCAAACCAGCTCAGGAACAGAAAACCAAATACTGCAGGTTCTGACTTACAGGTGGCAGCTAAATAATGAAAACACAGCAACACGAAGAGGGGAGCAACAGACACTGAGGCTTACCTGAGGGTGGAAGATGGGAGGAGGGAGAGGAGCAGATAAAATACCTATTGGGTACTAGGTGCAGTACCTGCATGATAATCCACATAACGTGAGTTTATATAACACACCTCTACACATATCCCTGAACCTAAAATAAAATTTTAAAAAATGAGTGTTGGCCAACGTCCAACCAGAATAATCCATGTGTAGGGTCATGGTTAGCTTATGAGTTAAATACTCAGTGGTCTTCAGGTCCCAATTAAACTCAGCATGC